CAGAAGGGGGGTTGAAACTAGATGATCTTTAAAGGTCCTTTTCAACCCAGGCCATTCCATTATTATCTTCTAAAAGCAGTAATGAGAGTAAATAAGAGACACTTTTGAAGATAAAACTTCACAAATAAAATTTGAATTGACTGTAAGAGCTAGTGACTTGGGTCAAATCAACAACATGCATGTATTCTTCCTGACCAAGACCAAGCCTCCATTTCAGAATTTTACACTTCACCTAAGCTTGGATTTAACAAGGATCCACTCTCACATCCACTCCACACACAAAACATTGATTTCTGACAGCAGGAAAAAAAAACTGGTTTTAAGGATTAAAAAGATGTGCTATAAATTATTTCTGGTTTTACTATAAAATACTCTTCTTTAAATAATGTGTTTAATTAATCTACAAGTAACACAGTATAAATGAGCTTGTACACAGATGAAAAGCAGAATCACGAAAGACCGAGATCTTCCTGTTTTCCTGAGACTCCAGAATAAGAAACTCATGATGAAAGCATGTTCCTCTACTCTTAAAAGCATTCTGCTCAAAGGCAAACTTCAAGAAACTATAAAATACTAAACTGCAAGTACTTGAGCTGAGACTCAAAAATGGCTCTCGGCAGGGGATAGTGAGGTCCATCCCTACCAGAACTTTACACCATTCAGTACAATCTGATTAGTATTTCCCTTTCATGACAAAGCATGGATGGCATGGATGCTAGCACCAAGCCTGGCACACAGAATAGAATTACATGACAAGAGAAGAAGAAAAACTGTGCTTATGTCATATTCCATATATAACACCATTCATTTTAATTGGAACAAAAGTTTGTCTTACTCCATTTTGTAATACAGAAGAAGGGTTAAGAAGAAAATTTGCCCAAGTTCTTTGTACAAACAATTTAAGCAAAATGGAGTAACTGTACAGGACTTTGGACTGCTTTGGGATCTTTGTTTCTGACAGATAAAAGCTCCATTACCTCAGACCCTTGTAACAAAATTCCTCTTTGCCCAGGTCATGGAATGTCTCAGATGGTACAGTTGAAAAATAACTTCTATATCCCCTGCCCATGTTGCAAACTGAACCATTCAACCATTGTACTGGGCTGAAACACGGTTGATTACATCTGCCTTTTTTGTCAGCATGGGAAAACAAAAAAGCCTGTTTTCTTGGTTATCATTAGCATGTTACCAAATTAAAGTTTGTAATAACTAGTTGATAAAGTACATCAGAATGTGCTATAGGAATTACAATTACTAGAATTATAAAATTATTTCTCCCTTTTATTGACAAAAATTGAACCAGAAACATACCTCTTTTTTCTTTGTGAACTTCTTCCAAAAGTTTTTCTTGCTTTTTTATCTGTTTAAAGAGAGACTGATGTTCAGCCTCCTTCATCTGTGTAAAGTGCTTGAGCTGTTCTCGGCTCTGCAGTAAGTAGCATCGCAGCTTTTTTTCATTACTTTCTCTCTCCTTTACCTCCTCACACAGCCACTGAAGCTTAGTCTATGTTAAAAAAATGGGACAATAAAAAGTAAAGAATTCTAATGAAAATAAGAGGACATAAAATGTTAACTGATCAAATTATTTGGGAGTCCCAGATTACTCATTTGTACCTATTATTGAACAACAATAATAAAAGAGGACATTCAGATATATTAACAGGACATATGTTGACATTCAAAGTCTCAAAAGACACATACTTTGGCTGATAATTGTATGTGGAGAAGCAACACTTTTTTTTTTTCTTTTTTAATCAGGGGCATGAATTTGCTAGAGTAGGTATGGAAATTCACATTGAATTAATATATAGATAGACACCAAGAAATACTCCTTTTCAGAATATTTTTCTCTCTCTATTCTCTGCTGACAGAATTCAAAGCATTTATCCATTCTGAAAAAAGTGACATTAATCTTTTCTTCTCAGAAAAAGTTAACATTTAAGGTTCATGCAGAGGAAAAAGAAAAGAGAGCTCATAGGTAATATAGGTTATGGTCAATGTAGTAAATCCAGAAGTGGTAAAAGAGAATACTTTCATTGCCTATTTAAAACAAAAGGGGAAAAAAAAAGGGAGAATTTTAAGTAGTCATCCATTCTACACTTCCCTCTAGCAGACAAGGAAACTTAGGTGAGAAATGTATTCAAATGATTACAAGGTGCTCTTTGAAAGGTCTTTCTAATAATAAGTCATTGTCACTTTTTCAAATTAAGAAAATACTTCCTGCATAACATTTCTCCTTTGATTCCAATCTTATCCCTCCTATCTATAGCAAAATTTGGAAAACCATTCCATCAGTTGAAGTAACAGTCTGGCAATATCAGAACTGTTGCCAAAGGAATGCTCTTGTATTTTTCCTTTTCCCCTTTAATTGCCTTTTCAAACACACTTTCAACTGACTGATTATAAATGTTCAATATCGTCTTTTTCAGCAAAGTTTCAGGAGGTTTGACTATTACCTTCGTTTCCGCTAACCAGCGATGAGGATCATTCAGCACTGTTGGTGTAAGTGATATTGCCTATGGGATAGTAGGAGAGAAATAGGCATAAAAAAGGGAATTAGAAAGGAGAAAGAGTCTTTCCCATTTACCGGAAATTCATCAAATAAATATGCTTTGCTAAAAAAACAGCTTGGAAATAATATCGGTAAATGGTTCAATAGAATGATCTAAACATAGATTAGTCACACTTAAAAGCAAATTATGCAAACTCACTGATACAAGTTTTGTTTAAAGGTGCAACAAAAGTTGTATTCTGAATCAGTATACTTTTCTCCTAAGAATCACTACAATGATGCATTTCAAACATCCCCAGAACATACCACTGCATCAAGGCGTATATTCTCAGTTTGAAACTGTATGTCCTTTTCTCAAATTAGTGTAATATTTCCAAATAATACCATCAGACTCTACTTTAAAATTGCTATTTATTAAGAAAAGACCTACTTTAAAGTTATTCAACTGTTTTTTTCTCCATTCTGCAGAACAACATTGGCTTCAAATAAACTAGGAGTAGCAGAACCAATTGTTGTTAGTCATTGAACTGTTATCAGTGTATCTACTGAAATGCTGTATAACACGATAAAAAAAAAGTTAAAAAGGACAAACCTCCAAAATCTTTAAGTTATGTTTCATGATCTTTTAATGACAAAGAAAAATCACTTGCTTTGAATATCTGATAGGCATAAAAAGAAAACTTTAATCTTCACTAAGTGGATAAAAAGAAGATAAACTTGTGTTGGAGTGCTTCATTAATACATATCACATTTTCTCATTGTATGAAGTGTTTTTTCTGCATTCAAACAGAACTATGTTAAAATTGTTTTAAAGGCAATTCTATATGTTTTCTATATTACTTACTAAAAAGGTAGTGATAATGGATTTTTTTTTCCCCCACTTTATGAGTTGATACAGAAAGGGAAGGAAAAAAAGTCTCATACAAAGCTTTCAACTGAAATATGTTTAAAAATCAAGTAAACTATTAACCATATGTCCAGCTCATCCTTCGTCTAGTGTGGTCCTGAGCCATGATTACTACATTGTGCCTTTCTCTAATTTAAAATTTTTGTTGGGGTTTTGTTAGTTTGCTTGTTTTTAATTTACCAAATCTTGCAATTTAGTAAGTCTTTATGTACTTTTAGTCCTGGTCCAATAATTTTTGTAACTAGCATCTTTCTTTAAGAGGTATTTATATGGGCTTTGTTAACTACACTGAGACCAAAGGTACCTAAACAGCACCATCTAATTATGTACATATATACGTTTTACATTAAAATTATCACCACATAAGGACACCGCTGAAAATAAATGCTTTAGTAGGCAAGTTGACCATGACTTCACAAAGCAATGCATACCTGAAAGTTGCAACTCCCATAGCAGCAAACCTCATTCTGGGCAACCACATTCAAAGACAGCAGTATTCAGTTTATAGTACAAGAATTTATCCATTAAATTTCTCATTGTTCACCCTAGTTGCAGTGGCAACTTCTTGAAGAACTTATCTGAAACCTTTTAGAAACCTTTGCAATGCCTAAAGTACTGGCCACGGGAACAACGTAACAAAGGAAAGTTCTTACCTTTAAAAAAAAAATTCAGACCAGGCACCACATAACTGTGTAACATTTGTTTTCACACTAGCTGTCTAGTCAAAAATTCAGATTCAAATCTGTTTAAGTCTGCCAGTGATAAACAGTTAAAGGGGATAAATAAGGAGAACTGTGAAAACAGGGATCAGCAAAACTTTATCCAGCAGACAAAAACTCTGCAGGAGATGGGAAGCAAGTCCAAGAAGGCATGGTTAGATGATCAAGAATCTGGCAAATATAGCAGATCACAAGGACTTAAAAAAAAGACTTATCTGTAAGGATACAGAGGAGAAAGCTTGTTTGTCAAATACATTTTCAAAGAATACTCATCTGTGCACTGCACCATCCCAACTCCATAAATGGAGAAAAAGGCACAACCACACTACAAGGCTGAAACAAACTGACTTTTCTCCACACCTTCAAACAGAACAGGTGAGGAAATAAAAAAATAAAAGAAAGAAAAACTACGAATAATATAATGGATTTTCAGTGTCAATGCTGAAAAAAATCTCTATTTCAAAAGTAGCCCAGCCTGGTCAAGTGACGAACCACAGAGTAGAAAGCATGCTGTGTTTAAATAGCAAGACAAAAAAAGGTACAATCTGAGTTTAACGCATGTGCAGATCTTCATAGTATCCCATTCTAATAACTAGCAATGTGCATCTGTACCAGCTAAATATCCATAATCCTACTGTCCATAAATTACCTATACCAGTTAGGCAACAACAATTTATACAAATTCTGCTACAAACATTCATTAAGAAAATAATAAAATCTGCAGCATACTTAAAACTTAGAATTACTTTGAATTTCTCCACGGAGTCCCGAGAAAAAATTTCACAAGCAGCATCAATTTCACTTCCTATCATGGTGAGAATGGATTCCTGTTCCATTTCTAAGTGACGCAGCTGATCCTTAAACTTCAGTCTGGCCTCATCCATCCTTCTTAAATTATCTTCTTCATTGCTGATCTGTTTATCCTGGAGTGAAAGAGGAAAAACAAAACAAAGATAAATTATTGCATTAATAATATAACATACATCATTAGCAATATGTCTTTCAATCTTCTAATCACACTATACTCACTCACGCACTGAGTTCAGTTCCTTGCCATGGAAAATAATACCTTCTAATAGTACTCAGAAGTTCCCCTCTTGATTCTCCTTATTCTCCTGTGAATCACTTAGGAAGGAACTGCTGCCAAATCCAAACCCAACAATCACAGAGCCTATTTTCAGAGTCAAAACCAGATATTCTATTATAAAACTCTTTTCCACAAGTAGAAAGAGAGCCCACAACGAGTCCCTTTATAATCTTTTTCCCTGACCAGGCATCTACCCTCTGTCATCACAAAAAGAGATCTGAAGGAAACCTGTTTTGGCAGTCATCATATTCTCTTAAGACAGTGACTGGCACTGAGAAAAGCATTTGATGTTATTGTCCAATGTCAGAAAGATCACTAAATATGTTATATATCTTTTTATAATTCAGATTGTGTTCCTTTATATTTATGATAAAGCTACCTTGTAAAACTGAACCCAGCACCAGTTTCGTTATATGATACATTGAATTATGCATTGTAATGAACATAACAAAACTGTCTTGTGAGAAGTGAATGGTTCACGCTGGTCTGCTGTCAGATGTAATGCAGCAAAGGGTAAACACTAACAGGCACATCTCAGTATGTGCAAGTGCACTGAGAACGGTGAGAAAAGCAAGTATAATAATTTTGAAAATTTTTTAATTACGGACTTCTTCAATTACAATGTGTACCTGTTTAAATAAATTTTTTAATTACGGACTTCTTCAATTACAATGTGTACCTGTTTAAATTGTATTTATTGAAAATCTTCATACACTGCTCTCATGAGACACTGCTGTGAAGCTAGGTAATTTCTAACATACAAGTGCTGTGAATGGGACACACATGCAATCAGAAAATTATTTAGGTTGGAAAAACCCTTACAATCATTGAGTTCAACCACAAAATTAACTCTGCAAAGTCCACCACTAAACCATGTCCCTAAGTACCACATCAACACATCTTTTAAATACCTCCAAGGATAATGACTCAATCACTTCCCTGAGCAGCCTGTTCCAGGGCTTGACAACCCTTTCAATGAAGAAATTTTTTCTAATATCCAATCTAAGTTTCTCCTGGCACAAATTGAGACTATTTCCTCTATTCCTATCACTTGCTACTTGGGAGACGAGACTGACACTCACCTTGCTACAACCTCCCTTCAGGAGACTGTATACATATGTATGTACAGGTGTCACATCTACTAGCAAAATAGGTGTTTTTTAAGATAGGTGACCTTCAAATGTGAAAGAGCCATACCTGATAATCAGCCTGATTTTTTAATTTAATTCATACAAAATAGTTGAGTTAGACAGTACTTATTTCAAACTGAAGGACTCACAAGAATTTTTAATATGCACAGGTTCCAGTATTTCTGCACTACCCATATGGAAGCTGAAACAGCAGTTCTGATATAGATCGGTATTTTGAAGGTAATAAGACTGCATTATATATATTTCCAGTGTCAGTATTCTATGCTATCTCATTATTCACTGAACACGGTTCATCACGTGCCAAAGTTCACTCTCAAAGACCATGACTAAAATGGAGTATATAACTCAATATTTTTTCCTTTACTTTTTGTCTGCTTGATTTTCTGAGTGCATCAACATTCCTCATCATTCTACTTTCAGAGCCTACAGGAGAAATGAAGTTGCTAATAACTCGGAAGTGCACAGAAGGAAAAGAAACAGAAAATTGTACCATTATTCTCTTCTGAAGGCCTTTTCACCTTTCATGAAAAAAATAAATCCAAGCTATCTATCATACCTATTTTTCTTTGAATTAGTATTTGCACTAACGACAGGATGAATGGCATTAAAAGTATTAAAAGTGTGGAAAAGGAAGAGAGGCAATTATTTTGCAATATGATAGGCTTCTGGGGTACCACAATAAGACAGCTAGTATGAGATTTCTCAAGAGATATTATCATCATTTCCTCCATCTTAATGCCCCTTCTGACAATCCACAATAAAACCACAATAGTAAACATTCTCTCAAGTTAACCAATTAACACAATCAAGTGGAATTCTCCATCTGCATTTACCTTCCAAGGCTGAGACCACAGGATTGTGTGCTTTAAAGCTTCTCCATTCTTTTTCAGCTTAGGGATAAAAGATCAACTGTATTTTCTCAGTATTAGGTAAGGTTGGAGCTAGTTTACAAATGACTGCAGAAGACTATGTCCGCTCTTAGAAACCCACTTCCTTAATAACAGATATTATAGTACTAAAACCCCAACCTAGGAAAAACACATTTTGAATTTTCATTTGAGGTACTTTTTACTAGTCTGACAAATTGAGCTTTTAAAGCACCTTCTGTTAGTTCAACAAGCGAAGAGAAATGCCAGGTTTAAGATTTTTGCATTCCATACTTAAAAAAACCCCAAAAAACCCCATACCAGAAAACCCCAAACAAAAACTCCCCAACATTTTTTCCCTCAGGGCTAGTAGTCACAGCATACTGACTGACAGAATATGCTGAAAATATAAGAAGTATGACAAAAGGAGCTAATAACATTTCCAAGCCAACTTTCAAAATAAGCCCATTAGATTTTTAAGCTCAGCACTTAAGTGATGTTTTGCACTTCATTAATAACAAAAAAATATGAGCTCACAACTAAATTGAAAAACCTGAAAGTCACAAAGTATCTACAATATCTATGGGCCTCTTATCGGATTAAAATATTATGAAACTATTGAGCTAATGAAGAATTATCTGATGAGTATTCAGCAATCCATATGAACTGAATGAGCAAATCTCTTGTACCATGTTAATACAAATGCCTACATCAAAAAGTTTTTTTTCACAAGAATGAGAAATTACTAGATTGACATAGAAGAGCAATTAGAAACAATCATATTCAATGTTGTCTTAATATGAATTAATCAAATACTGATAAGTATGTGCTTTACACTGGAGAAAGTAAAACTTCATCCATGTACAGAAATACTTATCTAAAATCACAATGTTGCAGAAAGAGAAATTTAAAATATAAAAACAGCACAATGTAAAATAAAGAAAAACATTTAAAAGCAATGCTGCGGAACCAATCATGGAAAAAATGTAGAACTCAAGAAAGCAGAATGACTGTTACAAAATAAAATTCTTCAGCAACTCTGTATTTATCACTAGATTTTTGAAAAGAAAGGCTGACAAGTCCAGGTCGTGAGACTGCAAATTAATATCTGATTGTAAATACTAATAAACAGAACACTACGCAACAAGAATGGCTAGCAGATTGCGTCTGTATCTATAAATACAATGCCAGTACAAGAAGGGATGGGAATTTATTTCAAAACTTACCATGTTTAAAATATTCAAGCACAAAATAATTTTCATCAAGTTATTTGGAATTTCTTTTGCCATACTTACATTGCTTATCTACCTCAAATTAGCTCTAAATTATTGATAAGTGCACTGCAACTTTAAGAAAATGTGAAGAAAAATAGGAGGGTTTGGTTAAACATTTGTTAGTTACCTACATTAGAAGTAGGGCAGGCAACAGGACTTATTTCTACTCCTAAATAGTATTAACAAATCTTTGCAGGGATACAATTCATGAGTCAGCCAAAGCACTTTTGCCTTCTTTGATTTATATAGAAACTGTGTACTAGAGCATGACCATGTATATTCTTTAATATGTACATGTAGTTTTTGTATTTTAAACTTACCATCTATTTCTATAATTCATAATTTATTTACAGTACTAATCAGCAGAGAGACTAAAGAATCATGGTTCAAACCAGGGAAGTTTACCTTTTTTTCCAGATCTTGTTTTACAAACTCATATTTCCGCCTGAGTTTTATATTTTCTTCTTCATTTTGGGTTAATTCTCCTGTCAATTTATCACACTCAGTTTTTATCTTCTCCAGTTGTCGGCACTGAGTCTTAACTATGTTTTTCTCTTCTAGGAGTTCCATCTGATGGTAATGGGAAATAGATTACAAAAAACAGATTACAAAGTCACTATATTTTTAAACATTCCCTGACTGCAGAGTTTCAAATCCATGGAATACTTTTATAGAAGGAAAATTCCACTTAATTTTTTTACATTTAAGTTACATTAAGTGCAATCACTTATCTGAACATGGGAAACAGTTATCACGGAGTTGTGGGACCATATAGTTTTAAAAGCAGTAAGTAGAAGTCTCAGACTCTGCATTCCAACTATGCTACACTCATCAGCTTACAACACCTTAAGAAGCCCAGTATTTATGCAACTTTTCCATTACTGAAATAATTTGGAATCAGAAAGTCTAAAACTAATTTAATTTCAGGATGTAGTACCAAATTTATATCTGCAGGGAAATAACTGCAAAGATTTGGTATTTTTAATTTCTAGAATTGCATGGTTTTAATGCTCTTCATGGAAACATTGTAGAGAAAAATGAAGACAACATTTAAAGGCCTTGAAAGCCCTAAATGGTTAAGTAAATAAAGTATATTGGTTTCCAGTGGAAAAGATAACTGACTGAAACCAATAGATTTGAGAAATTCTCCAAAATATCTAGAAAATGCAAAAAATACACAAAACAAAGAAAGAAATTACACACATTACTCAAAACCAGCTTCATATTAGATGAACTGTAGGATGCAGTTACACACAAAAATAAACCTGCAGAGTAAATTCCTTCCTGAGGAAAAGCAAAAATTCTATTCTCCCAATTACACTATAAATGTAACTTTCATAGGGATGAAGGGTAAGGAGAGAAGTTTTACGACTTAATTTAGACACCAGAGCTAACAGAGTACAAAAGTTCCCTCGAAAATCAATTCCAAGAAAGAACTTTGGTCTCCTAAATCCACAAAGACTATGGACACAAAGACAAGTCTGCAACACCTAAAACATCTTCTGTGAATATGCTTTAAAAAAAAATAAAAAAAGAAAATCAACTTTTCTGTTCCTACTGAAGGTAATTGTATTATAATGTCTGTGCAGATGGAGACCATCCAAATTCCTCACTTATATTACCTTTGAGACACAATGGAGAAAGTTAATTTTTATTAATATCCAGTATGGACAAGGCAGATGTGATGATAATTTAATTGATCTGGACTGAACCCATTTTCCACATCTGACAAACTTCAGGAAAAAAAAGAAGTATACCCACTTGGTATATGAGTAGAAAATAATTTAAAAAGAAATACACATATATACACAATTTTATATGTATAGATACATATCTATATAATCTTACACTAAAGATTAATACTTGAAAGTGCTGTCAGGCATGCAGACATTTTTAATTTCACTACTCTAAGAGAACAAGGATGTTTTTAAAGCAAATGAGGGCATGCAGTAAAATGAGAGAACAGATTCAGAGGTTCTGAACACGTAGCTGATTGGGGACCACTAAGCAAACCACTTAATTTCCTATACCTAGTTCATCTATTATTTTAAATAATAAAAAAAGACATTATCAAGACATTGGTTGGGAATCCTTTAGGAGGTTCTAGTAGAAACAGAATTCAATGCTATTTATTAATTAATTATTAATTTAATTAATTAAATGCAGTACAGTCTCAGTATTGAGACAGTAAGATCCTTCTCAACACACATCTCATACCAAATCCTATGTTCTCTAGTTCTACTGCAACATACAATATTATCCTATCAATATTATCCATACAATATTATCTCCCCTACTACTCCAAAAAATCCTTAACTACCTTATAATTTTTCAATCCAGTGCAGCACTATAGAAAGCCAGACAATAGTGAAACAGAGAGTATCATACAAAGGAAGCAAGAGAGGGAAGAGCAATAAGGATCAGAAGCCACTTCTTCTTACAACCTCTACAGTAGCTGGTCATGTAAACACAGGGCTCTGCACCCTTTATTTCCCAGAAGTAACTCATCAAAAATTCCTCCCCTAGTTAAGTTTAAGGCTCTAGGTCTTAATAAATGTGTTAAATTTCCCTTTATTCCTCATGTCACTCCCAATTGACCTTTATTTTTAAGACTTTAATACTGACAACGTTAGGACAGGGTTACATATATTCTTTCCCAAAGAATTACAAAGGTTGTACGAGGCATAAGGTCAAGATTTTTACTATAACAGTAAAAGACAATTGGTTACGGGGCACGAAAACTTATCAACCTACAAATAAAAAGGATAATACGTTAAAAAAACCTTTTGTTTGATTTCCCTAAACTCTACCCTAAAACCACAATATTTAAATATAATTTGATAAAATGCATGCTAAGTTTACCTTAATTTGTAAGAAATGTCCACAAATGTGAAACCTGATTGCAATGTAATGATGACTTCAGACAAAAAAAATTAATCGAATCACCTGCACGATGACATGTCATCATCAAATCTTCCTACAGATGTATATGATTACCTATTTTGTTGCACTTATAGTCTTTGAATGAAGAGAATGTTGTCCATTATAATTTTGTGTACTTCTAAAAAAAGTTGCCAACCCTAATATTTTACAAAATGCACCTCCCTCAAGCCCCCTTCTCTTTTCTGTTTCAGACACACATAGCTGTAAAAATAAAAAAGTGTGTAGGATTTTGGGAAAATCATGGCACAGTAAATGAAAGAAGCAAGAGAATTTTTAAAATATTCTGTTCAGGTACAACAACTAGTACCAATATCAAGGCTCCTACTGTAAGATTGATCTTTCCATAGAAGAGGAACATAATAACGATCAACTCATTTTTTGATTACTACCATCCAGAATACATTTTCCTTCTCTCTCGTCATATCAAATGTACAGTCTTAATTTCAACCTCATTGTCAAAGAAAAACCCATATTTGGACAGATCATTTAAATAACACTAGATTAAGTCCCCAATGCTAAGCACTGCTGTCAAAATATTTTGATTTTAATGATCTAGACTTTTTTTTATTGCTATCTTCATTACATGTTTTCTGTGTTAACAAGTGCTTAAGAATCATTGTCAATTATTATGTCATGAATGTTGTATTAAACAACTAACTATCCTTTTCAAAATAACATCAATTCATAACTGTAAAAATGTGGAAAATATGAATTTTTAACTAGTTGCATATTTGTGAAAAGAAAAAGGAAATAAACATTCTTATACTGTGACAATAATTGTAAAAATAACAGTTGAAAAAGAAAGGATCATATCATATTAAAACACTACAGCCTTACAGATCTTCTTATGTTATGATCACAGACATGCCTATTTCACCACTTCTGAACTAAGAAAAGCTTTTCATCTAAATCTGTTGCTGTTACGTTTTCTACCCTGGACTTTAAACTTTTAGGATGACCTGCAATAAAACGTGTGTTAAATGTTTTAAAGCCCATGCTTTATTAACTTCATCACTCCATAGGGGGAAAAAAACACCCAAGAAGACTGACATTGGAATTCTTCAGAATAAGTACCTTAAGCATTCTAATCTGAGCCTCCGCATCATCCTTTTCTTGTTTAAGAAGTTTTGTGAGCTCTTGAACATCTCGCTCATGTTTGATTTTAGCATTTTGTAACTCTGATCTAAGATCTGCCAACTCCTGTTGGTGAACTTCTCTTTCCATCTTCAGCTGCCTGTTAGCTGAAGTCATCTCTTCATGCTTAGATTCCTGATGTTTCTGGAGATCTGAGAAACTCTTATGTAATTCCTTTCTGACTTTCTCCTCTTCTGCTATTCTGTTTGTTAGTTCCACACGTACAGAGCTTAAGTTTTTTATATCTGCTTGCATTTCTAAGAGTCTTTCTTGATCTTTTTTATGCAACAAGTTACTAGTTGCAAGTTCTGTCTCCAAGTGTTCCTTTTCAGCTTGCATTTGATTCTGTAGAAAGACTTGCTTTTTCAACTCATTTTCCAACTTATTTGCAGTACCTTGAACTTCTTTGATCTCTTCTTCAAGAGATACCTGGTGAGACTTCATTTCATTCAGTTTTACTTCTTTGCAGTGGAGAAGTTCCTCCTGCTCGGCTCTCTTTGTAAGCACATCATTCAGCTCTTTCCGAAGGTTTTCTATTTGGTGTATAGCAGAGAGAAGTTGATTTCTGAGGTCATCCTTTTCTTTGAGGGCCTAGGAAAGAAGAAAAATAAATCCAGTGCAACCTAAAGTAATTAAAAAAAAAATGTTGGAAGGATGTCCTTAGACATTCCTAACATCTAAGGAAAAATTAACACACTTTGTTGTGTGAAAATCCAAAATTTTTGCGTGATATGAACTCAGTTCAAATATATTCAGTGTTTCTTTAAATTTAGACATGGAACATTTGTGATCTCAAATGTACACCTGTCCCTAAATGATCTAGCCTCCCAAGGAGGAATAGTTTTGGTTAATCTCCTGCTTTTCACACCCTCTGCAGATGGAGACTGGTTTCCTTGCTGGTTCCTCCAAATAGCAAGATGGAGGAAATGAGGCAAGTAACGCTGCAGAATACAGGGAGCATTATTGGTCATACACAGCTTACCTATAGGTCCCAAACACAGATAAGAGGGCCTCTTTTGCTAAAATCTCCAGATTTTGCTAATATCTATGCACATTCTCAAACAAAAAATACCTACTTTACTGTCTCCAAATATCAAGTACAAACTGAGTTGCAGTCCTTATGATATTTCAGAACCTGCAGTCTCTATTGGCAATAGAAGATGTCATTACTAACCCGAGTCTGAGAAAAGCTTAAATACAGAATGGAATTAAAGATACACTACCTGTGCCAAAGCATTATGGTCTGCTAGCAACCTGATACACAAGGTCAAAACAAACACCTACTTTCAAAGATGAGACCACTGTTCACTACATGAGACAATGCATAACATGCACATGGGTTATTACTTAATATGATTTATTTTTTATTTTTATTTTTTACAAAAAACAACATCACATTATTTCCTTAAAAATTAAATAAGCTAAGTTTTGTTAACTGTTAAATGGAAAGCTAAAGAGTAACTTTCATAGAGCAACTTTCTTCTTCACAAGAAGTAAGCCTGATTAAGTGAAGAGACTGGAATAAATACTGGATAAAGAAGAAAATGTGGAACTCTGTAATAGCTAAAAAATATTGCTACCTATTAGCTGTTTTGTAGTTCACCAGAAAATCTGAACCAGAACTTAAGGCAGAAAGTTGTTTAAACCACAGTTCGCATAAATAAACACCTTATCTTCATTTCTAAAATAAATGAAAAGGGTAATAAAAAAACCCAAACAAACAAACAAGAAAAAAAAAACCCAGTTCATTTCACCTGACTGTTCTTGTCCATCAGCTGGTTGATAGTTTCACTTTGTTTTTCCATCTCATGATCCAGCTTCTTACATTTCAACTTCCATTGGCGGATAGTTTCCTGTGCTCTCACCTTCAAGTCTTCTCTTTTTTTCTCAGTCTCCACTCTGAGTGCCTCTGAATGCTTTAATTCAGTGAGGTACCGTTCTGCTTCCTTGGCACTCTCTTCAACCTGTTGAGCTAACTCAGCAGACTGGAGCTCAGTTTGTCTACGTCCATCCTCGCAAGCCTTGTAGCAACTCTGTATCTCCTTTAACTGTTCTAGCATTTTTTCCTGCTGCTTCTCCCTGTTTTCCAAGTCAGATGTTAACATCTGCAATCATCACAACAAAATATGAAAATTCCAAAAGATATACAATATGAAACTTTATCAAACAGCAATGTTAATTCACATTTCTACTTAAAATATGAATAGCATAAAAGATCTCCTTGACTACCACGAAAAGCCCTGTTAGCCCAGAGAATCTCCCCTTCTGCAATGGTAAAGAATTTCACACAAGATATAAAATACATAGTTACTGTATCCCATATTTTACTTTCTGTGTTCTTTCCTCTTCTTGTTGTTCATGTCATTATTTATATTTTAGGTTTGAGAAGGAATCATTGACCAGGATCCTCATATGTTACACACTAGACAAATATGGAATAAAGCAAATAGTACAATGTAAGGAGATTAATATAAACAGATGATAGGAAAGAGAAAACTGGCAAGGAAATAACAGCCTTCACCACAACAAAAGTAATCTGTAGTATATGAGGTAGTTGTTATCCAGCTTCATTCTGGTTGCTTTTATGGAAGCAATATGATGAATAAGGGTATTTTGGAAAGCCCTGATGAATACAAAGAGAATACAGCAGCTTGGTAGATGTTTCTAGAACAAAGAGCAAAAGTGGTTGAAAATGTAGCAAGCATATTAGAGCCAACATTAGGTGACCTTTTCATACTGAATGAAATTTAAACTACACATTTTAAAAACAACAAGCACTGCCTATTTAGAATCTGATGGTGTTTCTCAGGACAGTCTCATAGGCAAGTCAGGAAAAATGTTCTCTGTATACCTTCAGCAAACGTATATTCAGAAACCAGTTATTGAAGCTTCACTAGCAAAACTGAATTTTATTAAGATCATCACACAAAATTTCACACTAGTATTCCATATTTTGGGCCTGTTTAGACTGCTTTTATGCCATTCAGTATTTACATTAATGACTTAGATGAATCTAAACAGCCTGCTCTGTAGTCAAAGATATTATCAAGCTTTGAGGGATAGAAATACTTTAGAGGATTAGATTTCAGAACGACTCAAATAAATTGGAGAGGTAGTCTGAAATAAACAGGATGCAATTTGGAAGGGACAAGGGAAAAATATTTTGGCCGGAGAAGAATAAGCAACGTTACAGATACACATAGAATGACTTTAGGTTGGTCCCTCCACAACATTACTGGAGGGGGGGTGGTGGCTTGGGTTCGCTGGTTGGGTTTTTCTTTGTGGGTTTGTTGGGGGGTTTTTTTCCATCCCCCCCTGGGAGGCAATAAACTGTACCAGTCTTTTCAGGATAGCATTTGTTGTCCTGGAAAGAAGACTGCACGTGCACTCTTGCATATGACAGACCACGGTACTGCCAGAAAAGGACAGACAGGAGTGGACTGACACTACAGACAAGAACAATCAGTCCAACTTGCTACTCATACCCAAGATGTAAAATGGGAGCAGGATTATCCACCGGACAATCAGTTGCTCACCTGTAAGGTGAATATTCCTGCTCTAGACACAACTAAGATATAGATAATAAAACAACAGGTAAACACATTACAGAATAGTCAGGAGTAAATCCTACACAGGTGGCAAAATCAAAACTGGAAAGTTTTTCTAGATTTACAGCTCTATGCAGTAGAAAAAAAAAACCACATTCTGCTCCATTATTATTTAAATATGCATTTTCAAGCTCATCAGACAATACTATCAGGTATCACTACTAACCTGGTGAAAAGTCTTGATTCGTAAGACAAAACAACCAACCAAAAAAATCTCACAAGCTACAACTAGCAAAATTTTATCAAAATTAGCTTAATTTCAAATGAAAACAGAGATTATAATACCTCTTTAAACATAAAGATTTAAATTCTGAATGTAGCAGAAGTTAAAAATTGCCCAATAAAACAGTCATACATTACATTTACACTTCCACAGATTTTCTAAAACGGGTCATCATTTCTTCAGTCATGTGATTATGCATGCTATTATCACTTTCCATCTCATGTCTTTCTGGAGACACCATAGAGGATGTCAGCTTAAATTGATGTACTGTTCAACTCTGCATCATTAGAAAATAGTTATTTATGTATAATTCCCCCAGAGAACACACTTCATTAATACAACTACAGTTCCCACAGACTTTAATGAAATTAGTCTAAGCTTAAACACAGAAAACAATGTTCAATCAATTGTAAACATTCATTTCACTGTGTAGAAGCAAATCTGAATCTCCAATTTATTGATTTACTGTAAAATGAAAAAAAAGAGGAATATTTTAGATGTTTATCTTGAAGCACAACTAATTTATCAACATGAGCTACTTGCATGAGGAGGAAAAATGAACTTTGACATGGATCTACAAATATAAATGTGAATTTTAATGTTTTGTTTTACAATTTGTGAAAATAAGATAGACCTCTGCAAATAGTTTGTGCTTTGCTTAGAAAAGTTAAGTGAGCACAGACCCAAAACAGTTGAAGCCAGGTGGAAAACAGCAGCATAGCATATGAACATTTCATGTAGTTTTCCCTGTAAAGCATGAGGATAGAGAAGTGGTGGGTCTCCACACTCCTTGTTTTTACAATATCATAACAGGGGTCCCAAATGTACTGACCTGTACTTTTGAATTCCTATTTTGACATCTGATAAACATATGTGTATTGGTATGTTAACATGTATGCAGTTGTCAAAATTCCGTCTGATCTATAAGGGCTTGGCCTACTGGTATTTAAAACATTAAATAAGCAACTTTTCAGACATGAGACGTCATAAAAATAACAAAGTAAAAAATCATGTATAAAATCGTATTTATCATCTATACAACAAGAGTTAGGCTTCCCAGAGAGAAGAAAGCCTCTTTCAAGGTATTTTATATATATATA